CCATTATCACATGCTGAAAATTCTATACTTGTACGAAAATACGGTGTGGAATCAAGCTATAATAAAATAAAAGATAAATAAGTACGAGGGTAATTTAATGGCACATGTATTGATACCTTAGTCGCCTACTTCCAGCTGTTCTGAAGACAACAGTGGGTCTTTTTTCCGGTACTTCATTACTTACTTGGGCTCCGGAGGAGGGAGTAGGGTCAAAGGTGAGTGAAAACCAGTAGTTTATAATCGGTCTTTGGACAACCCACCTATTACTCCCCTGTATCGACCCCTGGTTGCAGTATTATCAATGCTGGTCACATCTACCTACATTAAAATTTGCCGATGTTATCGAAACCGAGTAGTAGTAGTTAGTTTATCTTTTGTATCACATCGGGTTTCAAATCAGTGGCTTTTCCATGAACTTTTCAACGTAATCGCCTAGTACCCTAGAGGTAATGAACTCGAGTCCTAGCTATGGAGTGGGTGTGTACTCCTGAAAACTCTGTAGCTAAGACGAACCAGCTGCCGAGCGCTTCCTGGTTTTCAGTGGCCTTCTACACAATATCATGTTCGTAACGAAATCTACTTTATGACTGATATATATAAAATCTCTAAAGATCAACTGTTGGAAAACTCAACTACTTCATAACTTGGGAGTTATTATTAAATAATCATGGAAAAAATACTTTAGAACTGACATACGACAGACAAGATAATTCCCTCAGAATAATCATCACAATAATACTTTTTTTTACTTTCTTGAAGAGTCAAAGGCGAAGTTCAACAATAGCGTCCCAGGAGTGTGAACGCTCCAATGACCTTGAACGCATGCTAGTCTTTGTGTAGCAGCATCTGTCATTATCATAGCTGAAATATCAACCCTATTCACCAACTGAGGAGCAAATTTCACCCAGATCCCGTTTTTAAGTACTGTTTGTGTTAACAGCTTGTTAGGGTTTGGATCAGGGTTATAATTAGCATTAGGTTTAGAATTACGGTTTCAATAAGGGTTAGGATTAAGTTTACGGTTGGTGTTAGGGTCAGGATTAAGCTTATGGTTACGATTAGGGATAGATTTAGAATTGATATCATTTATTTTAATTTGTTTTATTATCCACGTTTTCCTCGTAAATAGTCGTCTATCCTCTTGCTGGAAACCATAATAATTGAACCGAGGGCTTTTTGGAAGACTGCAAGCAGGATGAGAGAGATAAACGATTCATAAAAACAGTTTATCTGTAGTCATCTCGGTGAATACATGTACAGAAACTAGTCTAACTTACCATCTGATACTCCTCGTTACAGTCAGGACATGTTTTTAAGCCATATCAGGGGAAGATAACCTGTTTAATGCGTTTTCAAGCATTTTCTTGTCCAAATACATCATCTTTTGAGCAAGCATTCCTTATTTTTATGATTGGTCAGCCGAAGGTCACTCGTGCGTTCGCACTCCTGGGACGCTATTGTTGAACTCTGCCAAGTCAAACATCCTGTGATATGAAAAAACTCTTATAACTCAACCCAACATTTTAATTAGTTCCCCTGAATTTCCAATTGCCACCTATTTATAGTCTTTATGAATGAAACAATTATAGTAAAAGGCTGAGTTAGAAGCCTATTTCCTGAAAGGAGAGACTTTTCTTACACGTAGCTGTAAGCCGCATCTATAACGTATCAGGCCTAAAATGATAAAACCCAGCTATTTAGGCTGAAATAGGTGAAATGAGGTTTTAATCCTAGAAGCCACGGGTAGAAACTCAAACTTCTGTCAGTAGGTGACATTTGCCGCCAGAATCAGTCATTGTCACCGACAAATATTTGTCCTTACATCCAAACTGGTGGATCCCAATGGTCACAACTTTGCACTAGAACTTCAAGCAACTTCGTCCCACCATCAGTACAATACAAGTATATTCCTCTTTTACCGAACATATTCACAGTTTCTGTCCATTACAATACAAGAGAGACATAGTTAAGTGTTTATTGAAGACGATTCAGTGTATATGTACAACTGATGATGCCAATAAAGTATTGACAGATACACTTGTCAAAAATGGATATCCTGCCACATTTTTCAACTGCTGTAGGAGTCATTTCGTTTCAAAGCCTACAGTTTATTTTATCCCAAAGAAAGATAATAAAATGATAATTTTTCCTTCACATTCCAGTGGAATATAGGGATTCAAGCTAGTGGCTTGAAGTTTCTGTAGCAGTGTTGTTTATTTTACAGGATGGGGTTGCTAGCCTCATGCCCAACCTTCCCTCTTTACCAGCATTATTTCTGGCTTAGCGAGGCAAAGGAGTGCGTCGGTGGCCGGGGATCGAACCCCGGACCATGTGCATGGTCGGCGAGCGTCCTAACCGCTGTGTCACCGACGCCCCCAAAGAAAGATGCTTGCGTCAAACTACTTTGAAATGGGGAAACCGACAGCAGGATATGAAGACAGAGACTAAATTCAGCGTCATTCGTAACACAAATACTATGCAGCCTGACTCATAATTATCGAAATAGCCAAAAATATGCTTTACTACATGCCTTAACATTACACAAATGATTATGTCACGTCGCAAACTACATACCAGTGTACATGTGTGTGTAAGTGGTCACACATCTATAGTGAGGAGCAATCACACTTCATGTGTAAAAATGGGAGAATACCTACCCAAATAAATTGTAAAATCTCAACAAAAGCAGTCGGGAGACTACCATAAACATAACATTCATTTGATACGAATCACAAGACTGATATGAAGACATCTTTCACAATTATCTACATAAAACAGTCAAGGGTACCGACTGAAATAAGCGGTGATATAGCCTTCTGTAAAGTGAAGCCCCCTCCAACCTGTGTCAACAAAAACAATTTATCTATTACCCGTAACCTACCTCAGTAATCCTTTTCTGATTATAATATTACCAAACATAGTGTTAATTAGTGGAATCCAAGATGCACATTTCGTCCAATTCGGGACTCGTCACTGGATGTACCTGCATTCTCCAGTGAATGAATGACAGTGTTCCCACTGGGCTCGAGTCAAGTGCCCATAGTTTCAAACGCGAAAGTATTACCCACCTAGGCCACAAGAGTTACCTCTTGTCCAAGGCATCTCCATAAATAAATAGCCGAAATGTCAACACAGGTTGAGCACTTCGGTGCAATATACATTAACCGGGGAAGTCAAAATTAAATTAAATAGCCTTCATCATTTTATGTCGTTTAATTAGTCTTTCTCATTTTTCATATTAAATCAATTCGACAAGTGAATATGTGAGGGATCAGATTGTTCAAAATGTATTATTGCACAAATACAACAATACACCATCTCCTTGAACAATCTCTGTCTTCTAAATAAAATAATATCTAAATTGAAGGTAAAAATGAATAATAATAACAATAATAACTACATATTCTAATTAATTTCCTTTATTTTGTTTTAAAATAATAATAAATGAGAAATTAAAAAATAAAATACACAGAAGAAGAATTGAAGACTTTAAAATCCATTTTCTTTTTTAAAAAAACATTGTGATGACCTTCGATAATTAAAACACAACAATGTCAGAAAAGCGTTCAATTTAAGAAAAAAAGAAGTAGTACTACAAAAGTCAATGTTACATAAATGCAGAGTAAATCTGATGATACTACTTATTACACCATAACTATTAAATTAGAGTAGTGTGTAGATGCACACACCCACACACGAGTACTGAATCAAAGTGATCCATCAACTGTGATTGATGTTGATGTCAGTGACGAAAATCACGGCGCCTAGACTAGATTGTCAGCTATATGAAGGCCACACATACGCACATACACCAACCCAGACTTATTGTCGACAGTTTCCAGTTGTGTTTGCTGACAGTTATGAGCCAATCACACAGCTAGCAGATTTGATGATCAATGATGCCCCCTACCCCTTTATTCACTGTCATCATTGATAAATTGTACACCTATGAAAAAGATATCTATTGACGTGTCTTATAATAGAAAGAAATAAGTAACCAAAAAACAGATCGTAAATAAGGGATCAAGGAGAGAACAATGAGGAAGAAAAATATCCCGGGCAGATAAACATCTTTTATTGATTTTGCAAAATAAAAAGTTAGGCTACGAATAGAAAGACAAAGAGATAGACATCATCATCAGCACGCAAAAAGTAAAAAATAAATGAAAAAAATGATAATAAAACCACCTAAATGTTGTGATTAAAAATAAAACAAAAGAGTCCTTCAATATTGAATAAAATGCAAAAAGATAAACAAGATGTATCGACTAAAACACAGACAGAGTTATGAATAAACTCTGCTATATTATAGTGCGGTTCATGCAATCAACATAATCCCTATTGCTACTACAAACACTAACATGATAAATCAAAATAATGGTAGAAAATGTCAACTTTATTGTAAAATACTTCACATTAAGCAAAACATATTATCATAAGTAATTGTGTTTGGGTGTCGGTCTGTATATATGTATACATGTATGACTGACTAGAAAGTTACGAGGGTTTTAAAGGAAGCTGAGGATGTGTATTGGGGGAGGGGGGCATTGACGACCTAAATGGTCGTCAAATCGGCAGCAACAACAAAAGAATGACTGACTAGAAAATGGAAAGATTTCTGAGGAAGTCGGGGTTGTTGGAGGACATTCAGAGAGGAAGGTGGAAGTGTAAAATGGTACATAAAAATCATCATGAAATCATCCATCCTATATATATTTTCAAAAATATTGCCAAAAAAAGAGAATGAGGATTCATTACTCCCCCTAGTTGGTGGGTTTTTGTAGCCTAATTTCAAAAATTATATAAGGTAGGTAATAAAAACTAAAAAAAAGGGAAAAAAATAAAAAGTTACATATTATTCATTTTTAAAAACTACTTTTTTATAAATATTCATGGATACTCATGGATTGACCAACTGTTAATAATGTTAATTAATGAGTATTAATGGAAGGATGGCGAGGGAGGGGAGGGATATTTTATTGCACAGTAGTTTCATTTCATTAGGTAGTTGCACTCAACACTGCACGCATAGCCAATGTTTGCAGTTGACAGATAGCCACATAATTCGATGGTAAATCAGAATCTGTCCCATCATCATGACATACATCATCGTCATGAGCATTACTATTATTATTATTACTATTATGACTCGTAGTAGTTGTATTTGTCGCAGAAGTAGTGGTGCCAGTGTTTGATATGGTTGTATACCTTGAAAAATGATTTTGACTAGGTGAATCTAGCATATGTTGTTGTAAATGCAGTGTATCGGTTAGTGTTCCATAAATACGTGAACAATAATTATCATTGATATGATGTGAACTATTGACATTATTATTACTGCTACTATCAGTCATGGTACAACATCTTTGAATATGACCAGGAGTATAATGTGAACTATGACTATCATAAGTGGTATTGTTATTACTATTACCATAACTAGTGTACCCATTAGAATGATGATCCATTGTCGTATCTACTGTTGTATTTTCATTTCTGTATACATGTAAATCTGATGTTATCGGACCGAAATCTAAAGTAGCATAATGCAGCATACTTGTAGGCCTTTCACAATATCGACGATGTCCAGTGTTATTTAGTCTACGTGGAACAGTTGTGGTGGTTGGTGGTGTCGTCGTCGTAGTCATCGTCAGCGTGGTTGTTGGCATTGACATTGTCAAAGAACCATTACTATTATTGACCATAGTTAATGACATTGAGATTGACGATGATGATGGCGATGATGGTTGATGATTAAGAGGAAGAGGGAGAGGAGGAGGCATACTATATGTAGATGATTGTTTCTTATGCGATGGATAATCATTACAACATTGTGAATCGTGCAGGAGAAATGATTTATCATCAACTGTTTGACGAGTTAATCGAATATCAGTAATAGTAGTTGGAAGACATGATACACTAGACGATGAATGAATACATCTTTGTTTATATTCCTTGGGTGTTGAAGACGACGTGATTGTTTGAGATGTACACAATCCACTGCAATGAAGATGAGTTAACGCCTAAAATAGAGAAAAAAAACAGCAACATACTAACCTTTTACATTTATATTCCTTGTGTTCCCAGTGTATACAATAACTAATCAGTGGAGAAATGACTGATTGGCCTAAACATTTAGCCAAGTACGCCGTGAGTTCGAGTTCCAATCCAATTACTTTCCAGTTGGATAGTATCATTGGTTTTCACATTGAGTAACTGTGACTCATAGCCTGATGCATGGAACACGTGTCTGACATCAACTAACTATCAACCAAATAGTGAGGAAAGTAGCTATTAAATTTCAAGCATATCCAGCTTGTGAAATAATGAGTAGTTTCAGATAAGACTGAAAATTTTGATTGGTGGAATTCGATCTGTACATAATACGTTATGATTGCATAAGTTATTCACCCGAATGGTGAATTCTAGAAATGAACGATTTATGAAGCGACATTTATCATTCCACCTTCTTCATTGCAAGTTTTTTTCTACGCACTACACTATCTGTCTGATCTACAACTATGATTTCGCCTTTACTGACTTGGTCATTGTACGATAAGTCGAATGAGATGCTCAATAGCGACGACTGGTCCTATTCAAGTAGGTAGGTAGTTACCTGAGTATTAGTAGGAATTCGTAACCAGTAGGGTGCTGCAGGTCGGGTGTGAGGACAAATCCTCACCGAAGACATTGGCTGGCGGTGTCGCACTAAGTCGTGAATTGACAGAAGTTGAAATTCATGGGCCATTTGGTTCGGGTCCTAGTGCCTTAATGGTATACGAGCTCACTGGTTTTGTAACCAGAAAATCCTGGATCCGAACCCCGGCAGGTGCGTACTGATGAAGAGACCCAAACACTAGGACGAAACAGCTGTCCGGTACTCCCATGTTTTCCAATGGTCCTCTAACCGATATCCGTTCATAATGAAATCCCTGCATGAGGATTGGTCAGCCAGAAAACATTCGCAAATAAGGAAATCTGGAAATGAACTAACCAATCACTAAGTGGGAGGAAATGAAGACCTTTCAACTTGTCAGGTGATCAAGTGGAACCTGAATGGGAAATGAAGTGTGGCACATCCGAGGGTGACATGGAGATCTTATGATGATGTGACGTGTTAAGGCATCATGTGGTAAGACGCCGTAAGCATCAGCCAACTTACTAGTGAACTACTTCAATATATATATATATATATATATATATATATATTTCGAGAAGTTATACAATGAATGATAGGAAAACCACAATAAATATGATTCTTGAGCAAAAAGTATCAAATTTTTATTTACTGATTTAGAACAAAAGCCTGGTACATCATGGATACCAAGAGATACGCCACACACAAAAAATAATAATACAGAGAGACAGTAAGGATAGAATGAATGAAGGACTTCATTCAGAAGGCAAACCAGCATCCTTGTCAAGATTATTGAACACACTCTTCACTTCACGTTACTTTCAGAAATGGAATAAGAAGGAAATTACAGCAAGTTCACTATTGACTGCACTTTACGACCATATATGCGTATCGGATCTATTTCCTGAAACCGATAACCAAGGAGCCGTAACGTACCACCAACTGATACTACTAACTGCTACAAAAGTATCCTTCAGCCCACGGCGCCACGTCAAGCATGCATGGGCTGGCCCACCCCCACTCCCTCTAGGGCTAGAGAACACCCATATGTGCGAAAGCCCCTAGAAAGATATTCATAGAAAGCTCATGCCCAAGCCACTGACTGAAATCAGAGTTCTAAGATAACTACTACAAGCAATCCAAGGTAACCTCCACCATCATGTCTGAATACACACGCTGCTGGACCACAGAATTACCTTACACAATGATATCATCGGAAGCAAAAATTATAGTTAGAAAAATTAACAAACAAAACAAAGGTCACTCACTTCAGGACTTGATAAATTATAATATGGTGCATGCTCTGTAATCATATCTAGAACATCAGTATTCCTTTTATCTGATGAATTACTTAAATTACGATGTATTTTACACAAATAATCAGAAGATAACTTCTTTTGTTGACGAAATGAATTCTCTTCTTGACTTTTTCTACAAGTTCCTGGAGTAACAGTAGTAGACGACACACCAACATCCATATCGTCAACATCACTATGACCACGACGACTAGTATTAACACTGGAACCACTATTGTTATTATTATTATTACTATTAGTATTAGAAATATTTGGATTAGGCAGGCTTGCATGTCTTGCGTGTAGATACATTTTAGACGATGATGATGTTGATGCTGACGTCGATAGTGATGATGGTAGTCTGGGTAGAATTAGAGTTTGTGATTTATTCTTACACTTTTTAACAATATCATCTCTAGTACTACTATTATTATTGTCTACTATAATGACGCCACTGCGTTTATCAATCATTTCCGATAAATTTATATCAGACGAACATGATACCGTTGACATTAACTGTTTCATTAAGACAGGTGAATTTTCACTAGTCCCGATAGCAGTAGGATTAGTTGTTTGTGATTGCCTTTGCTGTTCTCCGCCACCTGTCAACATCTCATCATCAATATTCCCTCTCCTTACTGTTGTTCCATCTACATTTTCTTGTCTATCAGAATTGTTTTCACAAGCCTGCTGCTGCTCTACTCTTTTGTATTCATCTTCTTCTTCAGATAGCTTTAAGGCGTCTAATCTTTGATGAGTTATACAAAGACTTGTTGATGCAGTCGTTGTTGGTACAGTTGGTGGCCGTCGAATCAGTGTATGACAACTTTCATCGTCATTATTACTATTATCATTATCACTAGCATTATTATTATTATTAAGAACAATTATATTATCGTAGATTTTTTGATGACAGATACCTTGCTCTTGAATTATATCACAATAGGATGAGTTGTTATCAGTATTATCATTATTATTATTAGTGGTGATAGCGGTATTGTACACAGGCGGTAATGGTGCTTCCGGCAGGTTAGATATATCCTCATCATCACTGATAGTTTCACACAAATCAATAGAATTCTTATCTTTATTATTATTGTCATTATGCCTACTATCTCCTTCTTCATGAATATGCTGACATCGTCGATTGAAATGATGCATAACAACACAGTGTTGTTGACAACAGTCTTTACCTTCATGACAACGATGAGTAACCTGCTGTTGTGGTTGCTGACGGTGTTGATGATGGTGACTACCACCTCCGTGACGACCATCAACAGTATCACAATCTGCATTCCAATTCACTGGATTCATTGTTGTTGATACTGATAATGATGATGTGTCAATAAGTTGTGGACAGGAATACTTAAATGTAGAACGCCGTAGACTATGGTGTTGATTATTTCTATTATTAGTAGTGTCATTATTATTATTCTCACTATTATTATTGTTATTATTGTAACCTATAATATTTGAATTCTGTAATTGAAGCCAGTGTAAACAATTCGAGGAGACACGATCATGATGTTCTTGTCTTTGCTGTTGTTGTATTTCACTACTCTTGTTCTTCTTCTTATTATTATGCCCGATTTGACTTTGAAGTAAATCAATCTCTGCATCATCGAATGAAAAGGCCAAATTATTGATTTCCGATAAAACTGGTGGACATTGTTGATTTTTATGCTTTTGTAATGTGTTATTATTATTGTTAGTATTATCTACAGTATTTGTACTTTCATCACATTGACCATTGAACAGATTTTCATTCAATGTTTCGATGATAGGTGTTGTACCGCCACCACCATAAGATGAAGATGGTTTATGAAAGATTTTATTAAATGACATCATGGATGAAAATTTTCCAATTTTATTATGATTATGATGACTAGTAGAAATGGTATTACGATGACATGAACGAGTCTCTGGATTGCCAGTGGAAGAGGTGGCAGCAGTTAATTTTATTGGTGATGATAATGACAAATGATGCGCTGACAAGGTCTCATGACGACGATGATGTACACATGTCTGCTTTGGTGAAATCAATAAAAAAGAGAAAAAGACAGAAATTTAGTCATTGAAAAAACTACGCACAAAAAAGACGTTTAGATAACTTCTCCATCAGGTCCTAGAGTTATATATCCATAATAATGAAAGAATTAGGGTTATTTGATTGCATGGAGAATTTTATCATGAGCTGACATCCGTTAGAGAACCACTGGGAGTACTGGACAACTGTTTCGTCCTAGTTTGGGACCCCTCACCAGTGCGCACCATTCCAAGTGGAGTTCCAACCCAGGACCTACTGGTTACAAGACGAGCTTGTAGACCAAAGCCACTGGGAATCGATCCAATGGTTCTTGAATTCTAAATTCTGCCAATTCACGATATAGCGCGACCATTTCGCAATGTCTTCTTAGATGACTTACTGCCTCATTTTCGACCTGCTGTACCCTACTGGTCACGGCTCCCACTAGAACCCCAGGGTTAACTGCCTGAATAGGGCCAGTCGCTAGTGAACATGAGATTAATTTTCAAGTATTGGTTTTGTAGCGATTTTGTTTGATTGCATGGAACCAGGTTGTCCAGTAGTTCTCTAACGGATGTCAGATCATGAAGAAATCCTCTATGCAATCAAACAAAATCTCTACAAAACCAATACTTGAAAATTAGGGTTATTAACAGCAATAATTTCTACATAACATCGAATTAACAGTATCAATATGTGTAAGCGGGATAATATGCATCAGCACAACAGTACACTGAATGAATATCAAACAAATTAGGAAAAATAATAATACAGAATTCATCAATTTATAGGCTCTACAGAAGGCCAGAGCAGTAATAGTAGCTGGCTGGACCTGTTTCTTCTGTCCACAGAGCACCTATTATTTTAAAAGAATGAAGTAGCCTCTGTTCTTTGAAGTTTTCATAGCCTTGATGCTTTTGGCGACTTATTCGGTACTCGATAGATGACGCAGGAGGATTCTTCAATGCTAGCTTTACAGCTGGTTCGGACCAAGTGGTCTGATATCGAACTGTTGGTTGGTGGTTGATGGTTTTACTACACCTTTACTTAGTCATACTGATACATATTCCCGAGAGAACACGAGAAATCAAGTTCCTAGAACAATGGGCAATATAACTCGCTGCACAAGTGCAGTTGGATTGGGAGATACAATTTGAAGTGGCTAGTTTAGATACTTCATCTTACAAATGAGGAATCACAACCGGTCTTGTAAATTACCAGCATTAAAAGATCTTTGAATGGATTTTCTCGAATTGTTAGTAATTAATTCACTGGATACGTCAACCTTGAATTGCAGTCGTATACATAAATGTTTCTTATTTACATTTCGTGATTTTAAAGCGACTGGTGACTGGCTACAGGACAAAGTTGCTTGGAGTTCTAGTGAGGAGTAGTGATCAGTGAGGTCCATCCTGTCGGGATTGAGGATGAAGTTCCCGCCGATGACATTAACTGATGGTCCCGCCAAAGTCACGAATTGGTAGAGTCAAAATAAATGAGTTGGTAATTGAGTCGGGTCCCAGGGGCTGTGGTATGCGAGCTTCCCTTGTAACCTGAAGGTCCTGGGTTCGAAACGCGGTGGGTGAGTGTAAAGCCGATTAGCCCCAAATTGGGACTGAACAGGTGTCCAGTACTCCAGTACTGGTTTTCAATGGTTCTCTAACTGATATCAATCCGTGGTCCAACTTGAAAAAAATAGAATCCCTACAAAGAAACTCTTGAAAATACCGATTTGATAATCCTTTCCTTTCTCTCCTTCTGAGCTTGTTAACTTCACATTTCCCTTTCCTTGTCTCTCTTATAACTTTTCAGGTAAGAATAGGCAAACCCAATTAAGGTTCACAAAGAGAAGAACCAGTTCATGGCAAAATATTTTCTCAGTGATGCCCCATCACAATAGTTTCCTTCATCCCTTGCGTTTCGAGTGGAACCATAATTGGTCCAAACTTTGAGCTTTAGAATTTCAGTAGACGTTGTGTTACTAGCATCACATAGAGGGCTTCAAGCTAGTGGCTTCGAGATTCTGTAGCAGTGTTTGTTTTTACATTATATTTCTTGACCTAAAGGCAGCATTCGACTCTGTCGATAGAGGAGTTCTCTGGAGATGCTTGGCTGTAAAGGGAATGCCGAGAAAATATATTGCACTGATTAAGGCACTCTACTCGTACTCATACAGCCAGGTGAGGGCTTACGGCGAGCTGTCATCTGAACTGATGACGACTAGTGGTGTCCGTCAAGGATGCCCATTATCTCCTTTTCTATTCAACTTCATCATAGATGTGTTAATGGGATTAACCCTAGGTGACTTCAGCGACTCAGGGATTGACTTGCTACCGGGGAATAATCTCGTTGACTTAGAATATGCAGACGATATAGTCCTTCTAGGCGAGGACGCTGACGAAATGCAGAGTCTTCTAAACACCTTGAGCAGCAATCTACGAATGTTTGGCATGCGATTCGCTCCCACCAAATGCAAGATGATGTTACAGGACTGGACTACATCAACATAGGAAGTGAAGTGGTAGAGCACGTTGACCGCTTCACTTATTTGGGAAGTACCATCAGCCCCAACGGGCTGATCTCTGACGAAATCTCAGCACGAATACAAGGGGCTCGTTTCGCATTTGTTAGTTTACGCCGACTCTGGCATAGACGAGATGTTCGACTATCGACCAAAGGGCGGGTGTACTGTTCATCAGTCCGCTCCGTCCTCCTTTATGGTTGTGAGACATGGCCACTGAGAGTGGAAGACATGAAAAGACTAGCTGTCTTTGATCATAGGTGCCTGCGCTCTATTTCCCGTGTAAAGTGGCATAATAAGGTGAGCAACATTGAGGTTAGGCGTCGAGTGCTAGGTAAACAGGGGAAATCAATCGACGAAGTCGTGAAGCTACATCGACTGAGATGGTTAGGACATGTGTTACTTATGCCAAGTCATCGCCTCCCTCGACGAGCTATGTTAGCGGATATAGGGTCAGGCTGGAAAAAAGCTAGCGGCGGTCAAACAAAAACTTGGCACCAGTCAATGAAATCCACAACAGTTGGTCTAAGCCACGTAGAAAGGTGTAGACTTCCAGACTGGGGTCCTCGGGACGGTAAAAATCTATGGTTGGAAACAATTGGTGACATGGCTCAAAATCGTTCACAGTGGCGCAGATGCATCCACTCCTTGTGACTTATGATCTCCAATGAAACTGTTTTGTTTTTCTTTATTACTCCTTTGTCTCGCACCTCTGCTCACTGTTTCTATTACGCTTTTCTTGTACTTTCTTCTCTTGCTTCGCGTGCTGCACGGAGTGTGGCGACTTGAACTTCCGCACATTTGTGCAAAGTTCTATGTCGAAAACAGACAGACACACAGACAGACTAGCATCACACATCTAATCTGCCCTCTTTCCCGGGCTTACTACCGACTACTAAGTGAACTAGGCAGGGTTTAGGTGTGAGTCAGTCAGGAATTGGATCTAGACCTCCTCCACGGATGAAGAGCACCAGTCTAGTTTAATCATCCGTAGTAATCAAATTAAAAGTTGTCATACACTCTACAAAGAAGTACAACTAATTATCATGAGTGCTGAGTTCGAGTCCAAACAGGAACAACACAATTCACACATCACTAGGAGGATACAGATGCATCCGGATGATGAATGGCTAACGGGAGGAAACACGTACCATATCCCACTGTCAGCCACAAAAATTCAACCAAATAACACCACAGTTATCATTCGCTTTAAAATATAAACATAATGGTTTCTCATAAGATAATTAAAAAATCCTACCAATATTATAGTCTAAAGAAAGGCAGACAACCGCTTCATGTCAGGTCCCGAAATAACTTCAAGTTAGAGAAACATTTAAAAACAATTGATTAGTGTATAGTTTTCTCGTCCTAGTTTCGCACTGGCTCTTCAACAGCACGCACCTGTGATATTTAGGATACGAGACCAGATCGTTTAGTGTTCAATCCCTGGGAAGGAATCCAACAGCCCATACTGTTGCCTAAAATTCTAGTGATGAGACAACTCTCAAGTACTACCTGGCTATTTAATAGTTCCCTAAATTGAAACAAGGCGAATTCCTGCAAATCACCACATGAGAAGTAGTCTAATGCTCATTCATAATTCATAATAACTTGCTTTATTCCAAAACAGTACTTGTGATACAGAATGGAATTCTCAGCATTTCTTCTACAATATTGCATCCAGTTAGTACATTAACTATAAATAAAATTCTACATAGATTAAGGGTAATCTCAGGTCATCATGACAACAACATATTAGCACATCGGTAGCAAAGTCAAAAGTGAACAGAATGTTTGAAGGTGTTAGAAAAGTAGATGCTAGCATATTTACTGGCGTGAGCGGTAACAAAAAGGTCGAAATATACAGAGTGTGAAAGAACGAAGAAGAATGTTTTAAATAGAGTTTGTAAGGAAGAGAGAAACAAAGCAGCATGTAACAGAAAAAAAGCGAGAAAGGAAACGTCGTGCCTATAAATGATATGAGTTGGAAAGACGAGATCCAACTGTTCTACTGACTATTTAATAAGTTATAGGTAAAACGCCTAATGCTTTCTTTATTGCACAGAGGTATGGTTGAGCCTTTGTACTTACTAGTGAGAGCATATAGTTTTCTATATAGGCTTCTGGTTCTGTCTGATGAGATACAAGGGGGGAGAGTTGTGAATGGAGAGGGTGTTGTGAGTCAGATAAAATGGATTTCGCCCATTTTTCACATGAGTCCATGTGCCTGTCCACCAGAATATTAACAAGCTGGCTAAGTGGCAAACTGCTTACCCTGCTGACAACCTTTAACATCCTGCGTAATAAGGTATAGTCTTTCTTCAATAGCCCAGGAAAGGGGGAGCAATAGAGAATAATAGGCAGAATACGGGAGTTGACAAATTGTAGGAGTAAGGGTTGGGTTACACCAGAATATCTTAACTTCTTGATGTAGAAGGTAAGACGGAATATTTTCTTAGCAATCATCAAGATATGAGA